GGATCCCCACCATGGATGTTTGGCATTGAAGTCGCCTCCCACGATAAACTTTGTTCCCAGTCCTTGAAAAAAGTTTTTAAAATCGAGTTCTTTTATTGTGAATCTTGGTGGGAGATAAATCGCTGTTATTGATACATCTGCGTGCATACATTTTATCTGAATTGTGGCCTAGTACTGTCCATGATTTGAAATTTAAGGCCCTGCTTGACAAGAATTGCAGCACCTCCATGAGCTCTATCTGATGGATGGTCAGCTCTTACTGTGTCGTATCCAGTAACTTTAAAAAAAGATTTGCTAGTGAAGTGTGTTTCTGAAATAGGCATGACGTCAATGGCATTCGTTTTTAAAAATAAAGCTATTTCATTTACATGGTTGGAAAGCCCATTGGCATTCGATATTCCTAAGTTTAGATTTATTTGCATAGCTTATTTACAAGTAACATTATCATGTTAAGTAAATTATTGGTAAGTTGAGATGGTTTTTCTAGAAGCTGTTCTATTCTTTCTAGAGACTTGTTCGAGTTACTATTTCCTGCAGCAACTTGAGCGTATGATTGGTAATCTTTGGGTTGTTGGGTCGAATTATTAAACGGAGCAAATGATTGAGATGTAGAAAGGTCATTTTTATTATTGTCATCTTTGGTGTTTCTCTGGAGGTTTTTTTTTTTTTATATAAGTTCCTTTGTACCTAGCAGCGTGATCTTCGTTGCAGTTGGCACATTTTGCTGGTTTTTCTTTATCTTTTGGGCAATGTTGCTAGGATGGTTAAGCATCTCACACATCTGTGAGTTTTGGCACAATATGACTTTGTGTGTCCAAATTCCTGGCAACGATAACACTGAACGATTGCTTTGGGTTTACGGGGTAGTTCTATATTAACAACTGCGTTACCAATGAGTTTAACTTAAACTTAACTATCGAAGTTCTTATTGTTGTTAGTAGAACAACTTCAATGGCTCTTTGGTGACCCGACTTTTTATATTACTAATGTTTCTAACAGCGTGACCTTTGGACTCCACATCATGCTTGATTAAGTCGATATCCGCTGAGAATGCTCTCTCATGTTTAAGCTGGTATGTGTGAAATTTGACAAAATCTTTAGTTAGAGATTTAACAAGCTTCCTGTATTCTTCAATAGACTTTACCGTAACTCTCACATGACCATCGCGTTATGCAAGAAAACCCAAGAAATTTTTGATATATAAAAGGAAAACTTCATTAAACATGTACATGCATAGGCGTTCCTAGAAACACTTAACGAGATAAAACCGGCAATTGCATACACCAAGGTTGAAGATCTATGTATAGAACTTGCGTACAAGATCAATGGATGTAAACTTAAAAAAACATCATTTTGAACAAGGTAGTCCTTTATTTAAGTGATAAGGACAATGAGCCGCTTTGGGTAGTTTTACCTAAAAGTTAAGTAACCAAATTTTCCACAAAAGCACCCTTTAAGATGCTAAAGGAGCATGGAATTTCACATCTTATATATAAAGGAAAAGAGATGACCAGATATAGCACTTCCCACTTAGCACTTAGAAAGAAATAAATGGTAAAGTACGGTTTATTTACAATATTTATGAAAAGAAAAATCCTAATGATGAGGAGTAAAGGCATGGATATAAAAGAATAACGCTCCTTGAACGATCATCAGTATCAGTTACAAGAAGCCAGTTGAATCATGCACGACCATCAAATAAAACTTTTTCTTATTCAATTCAAAGAGATGATTTTCTATGAGCATTTGAAAATCCTGGAAAATCTCATGGTTATTTTGGAGGTTCTGGAGGAAAAGGAGCTCCAATACTCCAAGTTCGGGTTTCACTATAAGCTGTGCCCCTGCAGCGACGACGATGCTACCGATGGACCTGACACATGCCTTTGCAATACGTTACCGGCAAAGAAAGCCCAAGCTATAGCTCATGCTTAAATATTATAGATTAAATAACAGAATTAATCCCACTACAAAAAATAAAATATTTACTTGAAAATATAAATGCGTTGTTTTTTTATTTTTACTTTTAAACTACTTTTTTAAACATTTTCATTATTAGCTTATCATTATAATTAAAGTAATTTTTCTTAAATTGATTTTAAAATAAAATTTAAGGTTTTCTTTTTGCTTTTAAAAGTTCCATACAGGATACAGTAATGACCACATGTACTTGAAAAATATTCTTGAAGTAGTTGTTTATTGAATGTAAACTTTAATGAATTATTTCTTAATAATTTTAAAACATTTTTCTTCTGAGGATATTGACGAGGATACGAGTCGAAAAATTCAGCTTAATGCTTACTATCAAAGTAAAATACAACCCAATGCGTTCTGGCGGTTTGAAGAATCTGTGTTAGCTATTATTAAAGCCGGATATTTAGAAATTACTTTTGGGAGGCTATCAGAGGCTCTCTGACTCCTATAAAAATTGTTTTTGTTTTTGAATGCTTGAATGCTTGTACTTCACAGTACACCAGACAAGTAACTGCTTCTGTAAGATGCTCAGAAAAACGTTCTTCAATTCGGATGGATCCTTGAGAAATCAAATTTGAGCATACAGTTGAATTATGATGATCTGAAGTTAAGTCAAATGCTAATATAAAACTGTTTTTATCAAACATTTCCTTTGTGATTTGCAAGCCTCGATCATAATGTGTTATGCCACTTGATCTGAATAACATATTATATCCTCTAGAGCTTTGAGCATTTTCAGAATTCGAGAAATCTAATTCAAGTGCCTGCGATAGTACTCGTACTCCATTTACCATTAGATTAAAGCGTTGAATTCTAAAATTATCAAAGTTGAAGGGATTTAATGTCCGATTTCCTGAATATGATTTGTTTTTTACCATGCAAAAAGCTAAGAAATTAGGTAGCTGTCCAATAACTGCGTTGTCAATTGATAGCGTATTATTTCCTGGATGTAATTCCTATTGTAAATGATTTTACTTGAACTTTGCTGTATGGATAAATGGAATTTTTAGTTTGTAAAACATGATGATGGGCCAATAAAATGCTTGGATTAATAGTTATGTGGTTCATGAAAAGTTGTGCTTCCAATATCTTAAGACTGGACTTAGTATCAACTAGCTGACCCGGCGAACTTCGCACCGCCTAACAGTCAATGAATGTCGTGTTACTTTTTAGCTGAACTAATTAAGGCTTTGATGAACGTAAAACAATGATACAAAATAATATGTTTGTATAGATAGAAACAAAAAAGTATCAACTTGATAGCGCGTGATTTTATCGTTGGTATTAGATGTTTGGATACCAAAAACCGCCATGTCGCTCCCTTTCGTGACATATTTGCAAATGTATTTCATTGACTTGACCGAATTGCAATCACTTGGCATGCGCTCTAAAGCAGTCTTGAAAAGCCTGACCAATGCATGATGTTCATGAAGCATTTGCTGTAGATCTTGNTGTCCAATAACTGCGTTGTCAATTGATAGCGTATTATTTCCTGGATGTAATTCCTATTGTAAATGATTTTACTTGAACTTTGCTGTATGGATAAATGGAATTTTTAGTTTGTAAAACATGATGATGGGCCAATAAAATGCTTGGATTAATAGTTATGTGGTTCATGAAAAGTTGTGCTTCCAATATCTTAAGACTGGACTTAGTATCAACTAGCTGACCCGGCGAACTTCGCACCGCCTAACAGTCAATGAATGTCGTGTTACTTTTTAGCTGAACTAATTAAGGCTTTGATGAACGTAAAACAATGATACAAAATAATATGTTTGTATAGATAGAAACAAAAAAGTATCAACTTGATAGCGCGTGATTTTATCGTTGGTATTAGATGTTTGGATACCAAAAACCGCCATGTCGCTCCCTTTCGTGACATATTTGCAAATGTATTTCATTGACTTGACCGAATTGCAATCACTTGGCATGCGCTCTAAAGCAGTCTTGAACAGCCTGACCAATGCATGATGTTCATGAAGCATTTGCTGCAGATCTTGGAGAATTGCTCTCTTCGTAGCTGTGTTGATCCCTTGACGCCTGTTAAGTTGTTCTTCCATATTGCCCATATTGCAAGAATTTATGCTGTGCATGTTCTATAGGTTGCAATGATCCAATGCAATGGTAATAGGATTTTCATTCAAGCACTTTGTGGTAAACGACATTCTGTGTGTTTTGGTCAGGCGCAACAACAAATAAAGCGGATGGTTTGCCGACACGTGAGCATGCCACGTACAATTGACCATGAGAAAAACATTAATTTTCTAGATTGAGGTCAAAAATAGTCAAGGATTGGCCCTGTGATTTGTTGATCGACATGGCGAAGGAAAGACGAATCGGGAATTGAATTCGTTTAAACTCAAAGGGCATATCCGTTGGGATCATCGGAATCCTTGGAATAAGAACTTCCTCATCTTAAAATTTTCCTTTAAGTATCGACGCGTGAATCGTTCCATTACACAGTTTTGGTTGGTTTAAATTTCTAAGCATGTTGACTACCGAGCCAACTTTAAGTTTTAAATTGTGCGGTGGTAAACCAGGCACATCCAAGGAGTTTAAAACTTCAGTTGGATAATTAGTGGCTTCTTCTTCGTTTGTTACACAGTCGATAGATTTGAATGAATATAGAGTACCTACGATTTGATTTTGAATTATAAGATTGAGGTCATCTACATCTTTATTTTTAGCGGCCAAAATTGCTCGCTCACTTAACCATTTAGTATTTTTGTGGTTAGCGATGATATCCGGGAATACGTTGTTGATAAGCTCGTCTTTTGATGATACGAAATTGCAAAAATTTGGAGGAAATGAAATCAAACCGCTCGATTTGTCAATAGGAACACGGCCATTACCGATAGTCAGCAATTGCTTCGAGAAATCATCAGCGGATAGATCGTTCAACAATGCAACTCTCATATTTACAGACAGTTGAAGTTTCTTTACATATTTGTAAACACAGATTTGATGCTTTGAGGCAATCGTTTATTTCGTCTGCAGCAGTAGATCTTGGAATGACTGGTATTCTGAATCTCCTTCTGTGCTAATTTCATCGCGTAAATGGATATACTCTTCCGAACGCATTTTAGCTTGATTCAACCGAATGAAAGTCAGGCGCTCCGTTTCGATGTTAACGTACATGTCAACGCAATATTGTTGAAGCAGTCGACGAAATCGCAACAAATAATTGTCAGAATTTTCACGAATCATCAAACGATATGAGTAATAATTCATCGAACTAACCTACTTGGTAGTTTCCTCACCTGAAACAAATGCAGTAAAAATTGTATTTTAGAACCCGTAATAGGTTAAAGACTCTTACAGCTACTCTCTACTAAATAAGAAATTATAACTTTTTTTGAGTACTAAAAGCAAACAATAAAATTTATATCAAGTTAAAATGAAAACAACAATATTGATCTTACCATTCAATGGAGAAATCATTTTGATATTAAAGTGATATCCATCGTCTCCTTGCCAAAACATCAGCGGGTATTGTAACGCGTCATATGAATGGTGTGTTTCATATATTCTTTGTAGTTGCCCAGTATTTCGTCGTGTTAGTACAATATCACGTGTTTCCAAGTTTTCACCAACAATCAGGATTGCTACTTCATTGATTGTTGGAGCATTAAATGTGCGCTCATGTGTTCCAGCTGGTCTTTTATCTGCTCTGATCACAACTTTATAGTCATCACTTGGCATGCGCTCTAAGGCAGTCATGAAGCATTTGCTGCAGATCTTGGAGAATTGCTCTTTTCGTAGCTGTGTTGATCCCTTGACGCCGGTCAAGTTATTCTTCCATATTGCCCATGAAGTATATTTGCAAGAAATTATGCTGTGCATCTTCTATGGGTTGTAATGATCCAATGCGATGATAAATCTGGCCTTGAATCTGTAAAGCCAAAACCATAGTTATAGTTAGACTTTCTTTTATATATATAGATTGTTTGAGAAGCACGAATTAAGGCCCTTATTTGCTCCATATTAACGCGGCGCTGTTCTCGTGCAGTTTCAGATAATTGACTCGCGATATTCCGTTGCCTAATTGCATTACGGCTTCGCTGGGAAAGATTGGATCTTCTAGGACGCGGCATTGTTATTAAAATGATTAATACAAAATTAAACAAATAAGTAAAACAAATATGAAATATGATTAAACAAATACAAATGAACAAATGAACCTTTTAGACAAATTTTTGAACACGCACATGATGTCTTCAGACAACAAAAAGTTTTGGCTTTAAGGCAGCAACAAACAGGCCATAAGTTGTTTTTGTATGTATTGTATGTATTCTGCTACTCGGGACGGAAAAAAAATCCAAAAAATCAAAAACCATGGCAATTGGTCCAGCCGTTCTCGAGTTATAAGTGTTGAAATTTATCTCCATGAACTTTTCCGAACAGCTTAACCTTATTACTGTTTTGAAATATATTTTTGAGCAGAATGTTCCCATCGGTGTTAACATATCGACCAGATATTAATTTTCCATAATTAGGATAATACCCTTGAGTAGCTAAGTGACTTTCACTAGCATCACTACCATAGTTTCAAATCGTTTGCAAATACGATCTATAATGATAGTTATTATCGCTCTGAGAAACCAATATATTATTTAAATAGACTGATGAACTTCTAAACACTGAATGCAAAATATTATTAACTACTCCAACATTGTTTCCTTCAATGACACCATTATCATTTTTTCTTAGCTGTACAACAAGTCTTAAGTAAACACTTGACAGATCTCGATATGATTCACCATTTCCTAAGCACACGAATTCAATTGAAGATGCACTGTCCAACGATGCTATGGGGTTGTATTAAACTTCTTCAGTTCTCACAATAGAGCTTTGTGTGGGATGTGGTTCAAACAGATCCAATTCGCTTTTTATAAATTCTATATGGGTGGTCATTTTGTTTTCGAGAAAATATCTTTTATATTTAATTTCTTGGATGATTTTTTCTTTATTGGTCTCAACTGCGTATGTTTGCGTCCTTGTTGAGATGATAAATGAGCTCGTTTTCTCATAGACCTCCTCTTCTTATTCTTTTTGCCTTCACCATTTTGGAATGCAATTTTGCTTTGTTCTTGGATAATGTTTCTTAAAGGTTTTGTTTCAGGGGCTTGATTTTTAATAGCGTTTATCCCAAAAAGGAAGAATGGTTTTATATAACTAAAAAGCCCACTAAAAAAAATTTCCAATTCTTCTACCTTGTTGTATAACTCTGGGTGTCACATATAGACTTCCTATATGATTTAACCCACCACCACATTGATTTAAATAATATTGTTGATAAGATTTTGTCATGATGACTATTTCTACCCTGAACTAATTTAGATTTGTACAGTTTTATTTATAGCATTTCGATTCGTTTTCTGAAGTGTATAATAATAAATATTGGAACTGTTGAAGATTCGAATGGTACTTTATATCCTTTGGAATCAGTAATTAATATTGAAATTTCCGTTGGTGACTATATTTCAATAGGATAATATTCAATATTTTTGAATTGTAACTTTTCTTTTTTATGTTTTTCTCCGTTTGTTAATTGTAGGTAACCCAATTAATTTTGTTTTTTTTTCCAATTTGCAAAGGTTCTCTGTTTCTAACAGATCTACTCAACGTTTCCCGTCCGCTTACGTATTTCAAGTCTTGTAATGGTTTTGGTTCACTTTTATCCCTCTTAAGTTTTGCTCTTAGTTTTTGCTGCTTATCGGTAAGCTTTACTTTAGACACTGCTTTTATTTTTGATACTTGAGTGTCTAAAAATGGAGTTTCTAAAAATGAAGTGTCCTTTACTTTGCGCTTATTATGCGTTGACTTAAAGGTTTTTTGAGGCTTTAAATCTTCATCGTCGCTGAGATTAGGTAAATCATATCAGTTGTGGGCATTACATCAAACCCGACTGAGTCGTCTTGTGTTTGTGTTCCAATGGTTTTAGATGATGGATGTGATGTTTTCAGACTACGTCGTACATCCATTGTCTTATTTCTTTTTTTATTTTAATAGTAATAATAGTAATTCTCACAAGCTTTCTTATAATTTAAAATAGGTAAAAATGTTATATTTATTAAATCCTTTTCATTTTCACCTTTTATTAGTTTTTGATAACTTTGCTTTTTGATTACTTTGCTTAATTGATGCGTATTTCTAAGCATTGTTTAATATTTTTCAAAAAATCCCCGAAAGCAATGAACTGATTAGAATTGTTAAAAATCCCCCCTTTTGAATGAGAACTTTTCTCTTGGAATTGATTGAAATTTTTGGGCATGAAATATAACGTAATTCCTTTTGTAAACCAGCAAAGCAGTAAAGCAAATTGTGTACACAGAATTAAAAATATCTGTTCGAAATCTCAGGAGATCATTTATACCCTGAGTAAGGTCAATAAGTAAATAACCATGTGGTTCATTTGTGACCTCCTTATATATTCTAAATAGTTCCTGAGAGTTCTCAGGACAAATTTGTCTTGCCAACGCAACGATGAATGCAACGATGTATTTTGTGTTTAGAGAAATGTCTCGCGTATGTGATGATTTATGAAATATGTTTTGTGTAACTACTATTACAGATAAGTTCCTTTGGTGAGATCCGAATCATCAAGTCATCTAATATTAAACGAGAAGGGACGTGTGAGACGCTTCTTACGCGTCACAACTTTTATACCCGGCACTCAGGACTACATCTAGATGTAGAAGACAACGCCAACCACTAGATATCGTTCACATTACAGAACACGTAGTAAAAAGCCTACTAAATAAAATGCATCAAAAAAATTGGATCAGTTAATCGTATTTTCCAATTTATGAGATATTTAAAACAGAAATAAAATTGGTACTTTTTCCCTGCACATTCTGTGCAATAATGACCGCTAGGTTTCACAGCAGATTTTTGAAAGTCTATGAAAATGTCTTATACGCAACTTTGATGGTCACTCTTTTTCTAATACAGAGCGTTAAAAACCTAGTCTTGGTTTTAACTTTTAAAAATTAGCTTTTGGCCACTGTTTCCGCAACTCCTCGAAACCAGTTCAGAATCAAAATCTCGAAATAAAAAGTCAAGTGCTGCTGTTCGACCGAGTCGGAATTCAAATTAATTTAATCTCTTCTTCTTTTCAATTTCGATATTCACCTATTAAATGCATGTTCTTCCTCTTTCTCTATCGTATTCACATATTACATGTATGTTCTATAGCAACAAACTTCTGTGAGTATGTCGTAAATGCAACAATTCAATAGCTTAATACTAAGAATTCATTTTACTTATACAAAATACTAATTGCTCCCGGCCATAAGCCCTTTGCGCTAATTTGGCGTAAACAGCCACCAAAACTGGTCATTGGGACAATAGTGCATCCGCACCTCAGCTGTGTTTTGTCAAATTTTAAATTTTTTCTTCATCTGTCATCTACATATACAACACTTCTCACACCATCACGCTCGCCGCCCTTCCCTAGACCCACATACTGCTGACTTGCGGCAGAGGCAGCGCCCTCACACAAAAAAAAAACAAATATAAGCTGCAGGACGGGGTGGGTTAAAAGTCGGAAGAGTCATCGCCAGGGGGAGGGCAGAGGCAGGGGCCGAGTGAAGCAGAAGCACAGTGTGAATGAGAGAATGTAAAAAGAGCAACAAAAGCTGCGGGACAGCGTGGGTTTAGCCACTGGAAATTAATTTCTCCATTGTGGCTATAATAATGATCCGATCGGATCCCAATTTGGTGATCTGATAGATATGGCCATTTCCTACGGAATTTCTTTTATCTTCAAAACTGTAGATTTGGGAGGTTTTCGCCCTTTTGCGGGGGCGGAAGGGGGCGTGGCTCATTTTTGAAATACACTGGTTTCAGTGTGAGCATACAGCAGTCCGGAGCCAAAATTTTGTGGATCTAGCTCTTATAGTCTCTGAGAACTAGCCGACAAACAAGACGGACAGACGGACAGACAGACATGGCTCTATCGACTCGGCTATTGATGCTGATCAAGAATATTTATACTTTATATACTTTACATACAACCGTTATTCGCACAAATACAATATACCCTATTTACTCTTTGAGTACCGGGTATAATGAGTAAGCAACAATTTGTGAATGAAATACATAAGCCTTCCAGAAAAAAACTTTATCCGACGTAATTTCGTTCAGATGGGCATTAATGATACTTGGCAAATCGACTTAGTTGAAACGATATCCTATTGTAATGAAAATAAAGGATTTAGATATTTACTAACCGTGATTGATACATTCTCAAAGTATGCATATGCGGCTCCCGTTAAGTCGAAAACAGCATTAGATGTGCTATCAGCAATGAAGAAAATATTAAAACTATCTAACCATAAACCTAAAAATATTCAATCTGATCAAGGAAAGGAGTTTTTTAATGCTTATGAAAACAAATAACATAAACCATTACCATACATATACACACCTAAAAGCATCTATTTGCGAACGTTTTAATAGAACATTAAAAATCGTATGTGGAAAATGTTTAGTATGCAGGGAAATCATACCTGGATTCATAACTTGAAAGATCTAGTAAATGATTACAATAATTCATATCATCGAACCATAAAAATGAATCCTGTAGATGTCAACAAGCAAAATTAGGAGTTTATATTGAAAACAGCTTATAATATTTGCAAGGTTTTCCCTAAACACAAGTTTTCCATTGGTGATCCTGTTAGAATAAGTAAATTTAAGGGTATTTTTACTTCCGTTGAACCGAACTGGACAATCGAGGTTTTTAAAATTTCAAAAGTAAAGTCTACCAGTCCAGCAACATACGAACTGGAAGACTATATGGGGGAAATGATTAAAGGGTCATTTTATGAACAAGAACTTTATAAAGTGAAAGATGAAAATGCTTTCTTAGTGGAAAAAATAAT